TTCTGATAACAGACGCGGGGCTCTTGTGTCCCGGGAAGGCCAGGCCTGAGCAGCGGGAGCTCGTGGGCCTACGCTGAGGGCTTAGAAGGGAAAGAGAAGGTCGAGAGAATCTGCGGAGCTGATGAAGCCGTAGGAGCTGTGCAGGGCGTCCTGGAGAAGCCGCCGAGGCTTAGCAAACGGAAGAACTGACGGGGTCTTGTTGAAAAGTGGCTTCAAGAAGCCGGCGGCAGCTGACGCGCCTGCGGGCTCTCTCCACGTCCACGAGGCTCCTCAGTAACGGAGCAGAGAGGCGGAGGCACGTTTTGCACAAACGCTGAATGCGCCGAGGGGGGTCCTGGGTTAAAGGCCCGGGGCTTGTCCCGAGCTCCGTTGAGGACGCGTCGCCTCGCCTCGCCTCGCCTCGCCTCGCCTCGCCGCCGGGGCACGTCAGCCGCAGCTCCTCTGCTCCCTCCCTCCGCCGAGGGGGGTTTGGTTAGCGGCTCCGGTGAGGACACGGAAAGAAAAGGAGAGAGGCTGCTGCTGCTATTAAATACCCGCACCCTGCCCTGTGGCGGCTGCTCGGCTGAGGTAACGAGCTGCCTGCGCGGGCGCCATGTCGGCGGGCCTCTGACGGGATGGCAGGCCCGGGTCCCCCCCGCCCCCCCCCGTGCTCTCATTGACCCTTCCCTCCGCAGGCGCGCCCTGGAGATGGGCCCTTCACTACGGACAATTCCGCGAGGCCCAGGGAGGGACGCCAAGGGCGGCTCTGGCCGGCGCCAACGTTGGGGGCAGGCGGGAGGACCGGCCGCTGTGTGCTCACCGGAAGGCAGGACCGGCCGCGCCCAGCGAGGCAGGTGCTTCCCTTGGTGCTTCGCCGGGACGTTATACCAGATGCTGAGCCTCGTGTTGCCGGGACGCCACAGGGCACCTGAGACCTTCCCGGGCGGGCGGCGCTTACAAGGCAGGCCCCGCCCCCACACTCGGGCTGGAAACACCCAGCGTCCACTGAAGGCGCTGACGCCCCGGCTCGGAGCCCCAAGTCTGAAGGCCAAGGTGGGCTCGAGTCTAAGCGTGTCCGGGGGATTCTCCGGCACGTGAAGGTTCGGGCCTGATCCGGTGGCGGAGACGGACAAGGGGCCCAGACGCGGACGACGGGGAAGAGCCGCGGAGGACCCCGCCCGCAGGGCCCGCCCGGGCCGCGGGGGCAGGCGCTGCGCTCGGCTTTCCTCAGGATGGCGGGGGCGGGGGCGGGGGCGGGGGCGCTGCACCCCGTCTGACACCACCCCCGCAGGAAGGAGCGGGAGGCACGGAAGGGACCTGTGGGAAATCACCCCACTTGTTGAGCTCTTTGTTCAAGCAGCGCCTTCCCCTCCCGGCAGGCCTCCCCTGGCCGCGTCTTCTGAAAGGACCCTCTTGTCATTCTTCTGGCTCTGACTCTTCTTCAGAGCGCCTGGCCCCTTCTGACATTGGAGTGTGGGTCTCACCTGCTCGTGTAGAAGCTGTGAGGGGCGGGGGCGCCCGGGGGGCTCAGGCAGGTAAGCATCTGACTCTTGCTTGCGGCTTCGGGTCACGATCGTGGGGTCATGAGATCGAGCCCCGCGTTGGGGTCCACGCCCAGCGCCCCTCGCCCTCTGCCCCTCACCCCCCCCAAAGACGTGGTGAGAGGGGTTTTGGTCACTGTATCTGCGGTGCCTGGAAAAGTAGTGAACACGTAGTAAGTGCTCAAGAAACACGTAGGCAAAGGCGCTTCCAGGAGGGCTTCCAGGGGCGCAGACGGATCCACCCTGGCCCCACCTCTCCGCCGCTCAAATTCTATTGCTTTCAAAAATGCATGGATCTCAAAGATTCCTATGGCCTTTCTCTCCCTTCTTGGAAGCTGGGAACCTGCGAAGGAGCCACAGGGAGCCCCGACCCTGCTCCCCTTCAGGCGCGCGGCACATCTCTCCCCTCCTGGGGCCTGCAGACGCTCTCCTCCTGGTTCCCAGGCCTGGGGGGCCTCAGAACCATTAGTTTAACGAGAGGCTTCCTGGAATATCCAGAAGCTATTTATGCAATGGAAGAGGGAACTTGGGAGAGGTGAGTGGGGGAGTGTGGTCTGATTGAGGAAGGCCAGCAGCGGCTTCTGGGAGGGGAGGTCAGGACTCCGGAGCCCGCCCGAATCCTTTGAAGCCCTTGCTGTCCTGCCCTGCAGCCCAGTTTTTTGAGAGCTTTTTCACAAAATGTTCTGCATCATAGGTTAACGTATAAGACACAAGCTGTAAGTGGAAAGTTGGCAGAGTCCTTTGGAAATTGGCTAAAGGGCAGGAAATAAAGGGTAGCAATAAAAACCTAAAAGGATGTTAATTGGGGAGTGCCTCAGGGAACGGGGTTGAGACCAGCTTTTTATTATTTACATTAAAAATACTTGAGAATGGTTTTGAAGGGATTTTTCGTGTTAGCTAATGAAACAGCCTCGAGAGCTGTGTGCGATGTGAACAGTGGAGTTAGGGAAGGATTCCGTTTATGGAGGGAACTCAGGAGAGCGTTCTCTAACGTGTACCAGTCCACACCCATTCTGTCCGCTACGTTTCCATCTGGGTAGTGGGCAGGATAACTTGAGCTTAAACGACTCAAATCTCTACACATTTTTGGCCAGCAGGAAGCACGGGAAGAGATTCCCACACCCTAAACCCAGGGTGGTCCTGAAATCTAATGGGATGTTGTCTTCAGACCTAGACATCTTTCTTTGAGAAGGAGCTAGAAGGCAGATGGAATCTCCTATTTAGCTGCAGGCGTAAGATTGGAACCGGAACACCTGACATCATCTTCCCACCTCCCATAGCACTTTCTATTCTGTGGAGCTCAGATTTTCACAGAAATACATTGCAGATACACCCCAATAAGAAGCGAGCAGTGGCTCTGCAGCAAAGTCCCTCGCATACTGCAAATCCCAGCACAGTGAGCCCGGGTGAACTTGGGAGCCCAGGGCCGACCTTGGCCAGCCTCTAAAGCCTGCCTCAGAGCACGCTGTGGGTCGGAGGCCACCAAGCCCTGGATCCCCTTGTTTGCAAGCCTGGGCCAAGAGCAGGGTCTTCAGCCTCGAGGCTCAGAGCGCGGTCCACCCTCAGGCCTCACAGGGAGTAAGCTAGCCATGCAGCCTCTCCGGCCACACCCCAGAACTGAGTTAGAGCCAGCATTTTAGCAGGATCCCCAGCGGATTCCCAGGCACATTATTAGCATTCGAGAAGCACTGCTATTAACACTTGTGACACCCAGGAATCACAAGAAGATTTTTAAAAGAGGATTTGGTTGCTTACCCTACAGTTTGAAAACCGGACCACAAGGGTCTGGTGGCCTGAGGGTAAAATTCTGGCCTTTGGGACATTCCAGTCTGCTGTAAACCTAAGATTCCCCTCGTTGTTTTCTTTGATTTGACCTCATACGGCACAGGGGCTTCTCTAGGAGGTAAACTTACCCTTGAAGTGAACAGACCTTTTGTGAAAATGTTAAAAGCCCGAACAGGGGGATGCCCCCGGGTGGCTCAGGGGTTGAGCATTGCCTTCAGCTCAGGCCCGTGACCCCCTGGGGTCCTGGGATCGAGTTCCCACATGGGCCTGCTTCTCCCTCTGCCTGTGACTCTGCCTCCCTCTCTGTGTCTCTCATGAATAAATAAAAATCTCTTTTAAAAAGCCATTCCTGGATACCCCTAGAGTTCTCTTCCCCTGGGTGTAGGCCGCGCCCTGGGCTGATAGCTAATTGTTCCCGTCTAGTTAACAGGCCACAGAGGCGTGGTACCTGGAGGCTGCTTTTCATTTGCGCTCATTTTCCAAGGGCTCTGGGTAGGTGTGTAGCATTTTGTCGGTTTCCGCTGCCGGGTGTAGGCTGTTAGCCCACAGGACCACCCTGTGTCTGGGTGTCACGGGCCTGAGGCAAACCTTTCTAAAAGGTAGGAAGCTTGGCTTTCAAAATGTGGATTTGAGCCTAGGTAGGCCTCTCCGAATTGAATTCTCTCTAGATTTGAGATGCCCTAACAGTGACTGTGTTGTGGGCCACAAACTCCTTCCTTTCCCTGCCCCTCCGCTTTCACTACCGCTTTCACTCAGACTTGCTTTTATTAGGATGGGAGAGAGAAATGAGAGAGCCTGAAGGCACTAGAAGATTGACAAAACTGACCCTGTCCTTAGCTCCTGACGTGGGGCATGCAGGACTGGTTCTGCCAAATTAGGAGGGAAGAGCTATGAAATCCCAAACTCTTTTCCTGCCAAAATTGGGTGACAGTGGAGTCGTGGCGCAACCCAAATACCGTTTCATTTTTATTCTTACTGGTTTTGTCAAAGTTGTTCTGTTAAATTCTCAAAGAATTTAGATGGATATTGAAATATCCAGGTCATTCCAGGTAGTAGAGATGAGGAAGGCTTCACATTTGCCAAAATCCACTTTGGAGATTCAGACTTAAGTGTGTGTCCTTTACAATTGAGCTAGATCGAGGCCCCTCAACTGTGAGTGTAGCGTCTGAACCCTATCCTTACGTGAGAGGAGTCCTGCCCCTTGGGCCTCAAAGAGGTAAGCCGAAAGTAATTCAAGTGAGCCCATCAAATAGGTGTGTCTCCTTAGTCCTAGACAAATACATACGGAGCAACTGGTAAAGATCCGAGGCTGGCCTCATTTCCCTGCCAGACAGAGCCCAGGAGCAGGGAAATGTGCCATTCATCTTTCTCCTTAGAGCACCTGGCACAGGGTTGGCCCTTAGTATTTGTGGGATGGATGTGCAAAGAAAGGAAAGAGGCAAGCCTCTGACTGCTCTCCTGGCTAGCACAGTGTTGTCTAACTAGGTCTCCGGCATTACATTTTCAATTAATTCTTCCTTGTCAGCTGTTTAGCCGCCGCCCCCCCCCCCACCGTGCACAACCAAGAACCTTACAGTGCATATCTAAAAACCCCTAGGCTAAATGGGAAAAGAGAGAGGAATTCAGAAGCTAATTTGTTACAGGAAATAATATGCTCCCAAACCTCTTACGTAGGAATATTCCCATTCTTCTCAGGTAAGAGTCTACGATCTCTCCAAATATGAGCATGGAGCAGATGATGTGCTGATCTTGGCCACTGATGGACTCTGGGATGTTTTATCCAATGAAGAAGTGGCGGAGGCCGTCACTCAGTTTCTTCCCAACTGTGACCCAGATGACCCTCACAGGTTTGTGCATTTCTATGATCATAGGGTGGTTCCTCAAGCCAGTTTTTATGGTGTGAGGGAAATGAATTCTATTCTTTCCATTTTCATCATTCATGATTTGCTATAGAGCTGATATGGATGAATTAGGAATCAAACTGCAAAAGGGACAACAATTACTTATTAGAAGTACTCAGCCAAAAAAAAAAAAAAAAATCCTCCTTAAGTTAAACCCAGATGCAAATGGTAAAGAATTTGACTTGTAGGATATTTCAGCAGCATGTTTTTCACAATCTTCATCATTCCAAAGTGAGAATAATTCAATTTGTGATCCTCCTTATAATACCAAATGCTCCCAGCATTGATTTTTATCCATTGGGAAATGATTTCTTTTGTGAAACACTGGGAAAGGAGAGAAAGATTAGAAGAGGTTTTCTTTTGTAGCATAATGACAGTGTAAATATCCCGAACAACTCTAGGTGACTCTCAGAAATAAACAGGAATCCCCTAGGGAGAGAGGCAGCTTTCACTTGGAACACAAGGAAACAAGTCACCATGAGTAAAAGCCAGTAAAAACAGCAGAGAGTGGAGTGGAACCTATAAATACTTCATTCTTGAATTTATCAGTCAAAAATAAGAATATTTTAACATTTCAGAAATGTTTTTAAAAGTGTTAAAAATAGGAACAAGGACAAGAGACCATACATTGCACAGATTTTAAAAATAAGGAAGTAGAACTTCTGGAGATGACAAATATAAGAAATAAGAATTAGGGATGCCTGGGTGGCTCAGTGGTTGAGCATCTGCCTTTGGCTCAGGGCATGATCCTAGAGTCCCAGGATCAAGTCCTGCATCAGGCTTCCTGTATGAAGCCTGCTTCTCCACCATCTTCCTATGTCTCTGCCTATCTTTCTGTATCTCTCATGAATAAATAAATAAAATCTTAAAAAAGAAAGAATTAAAAATTCAGTGCTTTAAACAGATTAGAGACAGTTGAAGGAAACACTGGTGAACTGGAAAATTGATCTGAATAGTTAAGAATATGGCTGAGAGAGACAAAGAAGAGGAGAAATGTAAAATGAGATTATGAGACTAGGGGAATGACCTAAAATGCTCTCACAGAATCCCAAAAGTAAATACTGGAGATGAGAAGAAGAAAAAGTTCCAGAATTGTTGAATGATAATAAACTGAAGTTCTAGAAAGACCAACAGATCTCAAGCAGAAGAAATGAAAATTATAAGTAGATATTTCATAATGAAACTAAAGAACTTCAAACAAACAAAAGAATAAAAGCAGCCAGAAAGAAGGCAAAACAGATCTATATAAATAGCATTTAGACTGAAAGCTGACTTTTCAGAAATAACAACAATATCCAAAGGATAGTGGAGTTCTATCTTTAGTTGTCTAAGAATATTTTATTAACATGAAAGTTTTTTTTAATATGTATGAAAGAATTTTCATATGGAGTAAAAACATAATTAAAGAGGATAAATTACAGACATTCTCAGTCAAAACACAACCTGAGGAATTTTAATGCCAACGAAACTCCTCAGAAGAAAATTCTGAAGGATGTACTTAGATAAGGAAATGAAATGATCCCAGATGGAATATCAGAGAAGTAAAATGGATTATTAAGCTGGGATCTTAGTAAATTTGTAGATACACTGGCTATATAAAACAGAAACAAGGATGTCTAATGTGTGGTCCTAAAAATTCTAGAATCAAAATATTAACTAAAAACAGCACAATTGGCAGGGGGGGATAGCAAATCAGCTACAGTGTGTGGTGATTCTATCAGAAAAGAGGTTCTCTTAAAAGATTTAGCTTTAGACTCTGTGTTTAAATAGCTAAGAAAACTACAAAACAAACGATGTATAACTTTTAGACTAATCAAGGGAGAGAAAGCCTACATAGATTCAGAAACCAAACTTCTAAACAATTTATAAATCAAAAATACATAATAAAAATTAGAAATTACTTGCATTTGGGTGGGGCATGTCAGTGATGCAGTGGTTTGAGTGTCTGACTCTTGGTTTTGGCTCAGGCCATGACCTCAGGGTCACGAGATTGAGCCCCATGTTGAATTCCATGTCCGTGCAGAGTCTGCTTGAAATTCTCTCTTTTTCTTCGCCTCTCACTTGTGCTCATGCTCTCTCTCACTCATTCTCTTTCTTTCTCTCTCAAATAAGTAAATAAATCTTAAAAAAAAAAAAAAGAGTAAAAGAAATTACTTGGGTTTAAATAACAGGAAGAATACTACACATCAAAACTTTAAAGGCTAAATTTCAAGCCCCCCCCTTTTTTTTTGGTCTAATTCAATGAGCTACGCATAGATGAAGACTCCACTCACCCCTGACCTGCTAGAAGAACCTACATCTCCTCCACGTCATAAGATAGCTTTTTCCAAAACTCCCCACTGTATCACAAAGAACCCCTGGCCACAAGCTCTAGACTCCTTACCACAGAGAAAGATTTTCTCAGAGAAGGACCCTGAGGGCTGACTTGTGTTATGGAGCTATTTCTGCCTATATTATCCACATAAACACGTACATAGACTTTTTATAACTTCTAGATTCTAGGAACCAAAGGATGGAGCTATCTACTCGTGGACCATGTGTTCTTTTCCTGAGTGCAGGCATTTAGTAAACACCTGTCCTAATTTTAAAGTTCAGCTCTGCGGTCCTTATATCAACAATAGCATCTAATTTAAGAAGTGAAAACAGCACAATAAACACAGGAGAAGCGGTGGAAGGAAAAAATTAGAGATGAGAAAATAGAGAACAAATATTCTATAAAAATAAATGGTAAGTGAATTCAGTAAAGTTGCAGGATATAAAAACAGTATATAGCAATCTGTTGAGTTTCTCTACACTTAACAAACTAGCAGAAAGAGAATGTAAGAAAACGGTCCCATTTACAATTGCATCGGAAAGAATAAAATACCTAGGAATAAATTTAACCAAGGAAGTGAAGACCTGTACTCTGCAAAATACAAGAGACACTGATGAAAGAAATTGAAGATGAAAAGAAACGGAAAACATTCCATGCTCATGGATTAGAAGAATAAATATTGTTAAAATGTCCATACTCCTCAAAGCAATCTACAGATTCAGTGCAATCTCCATCAAAATACCAAAAGCATTTTTCACAGAACTAGAAAAAATAGTCCCAAAATTTGTGTAGAACCACAAAAAAACCTAAATTGCCAAAGCAGTTTTGAGAAGGAAGAAAAAAGGTATCACAATCCCAAATTTCAAGATGCACTACAGTGCTCGCTTCAACAGCACATATACTAAAAACAAGATGCACTACAAAGCTGTAGTAGTCAAAATAGTATTGTCCTGTCACAAGAATAGACAATTGGGTCAAGGAACAGAATAGAGAGCCTAGGAATAAGGCCACATATTAATTGGTCAAATAATCTACAAAGGAGGCAAGAATATACAATGGGGAAAAAACAGTCTCCTCAATAAATGATGTTGGGAAAACTGGACAGCTACATGTAGAAGAATGAAACTGGGCCACTTTCCTTATACCATACACAAAAATAAACTCAAAACAGATTAAAGACCCAAAACCATAAAACTCCTCAGAGAAAACATAGGCCGTAAACTCTTGGCCTTAACAGTATTTTTCTAGATGTGTTTCCACAGACAAGGGAAACAAAAGCAAGCAAGCAAGGAAGGAAGGAAGGAAGGAAGGAAGGAAGGAAAAGAAAGAAAGAAAGAAAGAAAGAAAGAAAGAAAGAAAGAAAGAAAGAAAGAAAAAGAAAGAAAGAAAAGAAAGAAAGAAAGAGAAAGAAAGAAAAAAGAAAAGAAAGAAGAAAAGAAACCATTGGGACTATATCAAACTAAAAAGCTTTTGCACTGTGAAGGAAACCATCAACAAAATGAGAAGGCAACCTGCCAAGTGGGAGGAGATTTTTGTAATATTTGGTATATCCAATAAAGGGTTCATATCCAAAATATATAAAGAACTACCATAACTCAACATCCCAGGGGAATGAAAAACAATTAAAAATGGGCAGAGGGGGATCCCTGGGTGGCACAGCGGTTTGGCGCCTGCCTTTGGCCCAGGGCGCGATCCTGGAGACCCGGGATTGAATCCCACGTCAGGCTCCCGGTGCATGGAGCCTGCTTCTCCCTCTGCCTGTGTCTCTGCCTCTCTCTCTCTGTGTGTGACTATCATAAATAAAAAAAAAAAAAAATGGGCAGAGGGCCTGAATAAGCTTTTTTCCAAAGAAGACATACAGATGGCCAACAGACACATGAAAAGAAGCCCAACATCAGTTACCATCAGGGAAATACACATCAAAACCACCACGAGATAACACCTCACATCAGTCAGAATTGCTAGCATCAAAAAGAATTGCTAATATCAAAACATGTTTGGCAAGGATGTGGAGAATAGAAATCCTCATGCACTATTGGTGGGAATATAAATTGGTGTGGCCACTATGGAAAACAATATGCAAGATTCTTCAAAAAGTTAAAGATAGAAACACCATATGATCCAGTAATTCCACTTCTAGATGTTTACCCAAAGAAAATGAAAACTCTAGATCAAAAAGATATATTCATTCCTCTGTTTATTGCACCTTTATTTACAGTAGCCAAGATGTGGAGGCAACTTCAGTGTCCATTGATGAATGAGTAAAGAATATGTGGTGTTGATATACACTGGAATATTACTCAGCCATAAAAAAGGGAGGATGAAATCTTGCCATTCTCAACAACATATGGACCGAAGGAATATGCTAAGTGAACTAAACTGAAGAAAGACAGATACCATATGATTTCATTTACATGTAGAATCTAAAAAACAAATGAACAAACAGAAACCGACTCAAAAATACAGGCAACAAACTGATAGTTGCCAGAGGGGATGGGAGATAGGAGGAACGGGTGAAGAGGATTGAGAGTTGCAAACTTCCAGTTATAAGATAGATCATGGGGAAGAAAAGTACAGTATAAACAGTGTAGTCGATAATATCATAAGAACTTTATGTGGTGACAGATGGTAA